CACATGACAAAAAATGGGGAAAAGGGGAAGACACAGAGAAACAGATAGATAGACAGACAGACAGACAGACACACACACACACACACACACACACACACACGAAGTTTAATCAACATAGTAAGTGTATGGGGCTTAGAAGAAAGTAAAACAACATTTATGCCCAGCAAGCATGTTTGGTCAAGGTACCAAACCTCTCTCAGCCTCAACTGTAAAATAAAGACAACATTTCCATTGCAAGAAGAGAAATAATGGTGTCATCTCCATAAAGATATGGATATATTGCTATCATTTTCTAAGCAGTAGGATTACCAAGTGCCATCTGATGTTTCAATCAATGATGACTGCATATATACCACACAGCCTATGTGTGTAAGCAGGTCATACCATCTAAGCTTATCTAATACACACCATGAAGTTTCCAAGAAGATGAAAACAATTAATATGCATGTATGCATGCATGTGGAAGCCAGAAGTCAACTTCAGGTCAACTTCTTCTATTGCACTCCATCTATTTTTTGAGACAGGAGCTATTACTAAACCTGGAGCTTACAGATTAGGCGAGGCTGGCTGGCCAGTGAGCTTAGGGAAATTTGCCTCTTGTTAAGTGACACATGAGTACATGCAAACAACTATCACTGAGAAAAATGCACAAATACTTTTCTTAAATATTATTCAGGAAAACATCAACACACTAATTCAATTTTTACAATATTCATGTCAAGATGTATGTCTTAGTCATCTTTATACATCTGCCTTACACAAGTGTCAAAAATAGTACTCTGGATACCTAAAGTGGTGAACATTTTGACTGCTATGTTCTAAGCATCCTGCTTTGTGCTTGGTATACAGTGATGTTAAATACCCAACATAGCCATAAGACACTAGGTTTGTTTCCACTCCATCCTGCTTATAGACTTTCAATATTAGTGTTATTTGATGCTGCTCTTGTTATGATTCCTTTACCATGAACCATGTTATATTCAAAAGTATATTTCTCAGGAAGAATTATGTGACTCTGCAAGTAAGGTATTAATTACTTACAAGAAGCCTTATAATTGACAACACAAAGTAAGGCATGCCTGATTTTCATTTTTAAACCGATTTTCTAAAATATATGTATGATATTTTCATCTGGTTTACTTTAATTAGCACCTACATATTTCTAACAAGCCAGCAAGTCTTTACTTCTTTCTTCTACCTCTTTTGGAAGTATGCAATTCATCCTCAAAGAATGAGAGCTGATTTGAATGATTTAAAGTCGACTAACAATTTGTAATTAAACAAAATTTTTAATTAACATATTGACTATTCCTTTTCATAACATAAAAGCAACAATTTAATGTATTTTACCAGTTCTGTCTCTTATTTTAGCACTATAAAAGCCTTTCTAGCACATGCTGATTTTAACAATTTCAAAGGTGTTAGTATAGCATGCCATCAACATCACAGGGTTAGTTAAAATGCGTAACAAAGGAAATGTTGACAATAACCTTACCACATCATCTGTCAATGTCCTAATATTTAAATGCTGCAAATTAAAAAAGAAAAATCAGTCAGTAATTTATAACTGCTTTTTTATTTTACTTAATGAGTACATTCTACAATGCTAAACTAGAAGGTAATTCGATTCCTGACAGTACAATAAAAAGCATTATATATTGTTTTCATTTACTTCTCAAGAGATGAACAAAAGTTATCCTGTATATAAAAATTTTAAATATTTACTAGAATTTCTTGGTCTCATTAACCTTACAAACTAGAAACCTAACTGTGGCAAAATAAGCATATTCTCCCAATTAATAATAATAATTAGCATTCAATACACAGGTTTACTGCACAATGATATAAAGATTTAAATGTGACTTTCAGAAAATGTTTCATGTTATAAAACACTGAAACTTTAAATTTTCAATTAATATTCAGCATAATAGATAATGAAGTACTTTGCTATCCTAATGAACTTAAGTAATTCTAGTAATGAAGAAGAATGTACTGGAATGACTACTTGCATCTTAAACATCAGTTTGATTTATCACCAGTGGTATGGTAGACACTTCTCAATTTCATTGCCAGCTTTTTTGAGAACCCTTTTGCTGATTTCCTTGCTAGACAAACATAAGACCACTTTAGAAAATGAATAAATTAGTTTCTCACAAAGCACAGTTCAAAAGAAAAAAAGCATTTAGAAAGAAAAATATCTGCCTTACAAATCAAGGGTAGGGCAAAAATTTGTATTCAGACAGCTCTATTCAACTCCCAATTCTCTTTCCTCTTATTCATTGGAGCATTCATTAGCTCCTTCAAAGAATGGAGAAAGGGTCAAACATTCTGAAACAGGAAACCAGGTCTATTCTTTTATTATTATAAATGAACATGTGTTAACAATTATCATCTAACACATAAACTCAACATTTACTTAATGAAATTTGCTCTCATGCTGATCTACTGAAATATCTTCATGTTCATTACTCTACCATACTGATAATCTCAATTAAAATCTTTCCAGTGTAAATAGTGATTCCACATTTTCTTCCTTCACCAACATGTGCCTTCCTAATGTAGAGCAAAGTTTGTAAGTGAAGGAACATGAAATGAACTTTGTGTATACTCAAGAGAAGGTGGCCATATTAATGAACATAACTGGACACGTCAGTAAGTTCTAGATTCAACTGCCTGTTGAATTCAAACAGCATACTTTGAGCTGGGAATAGGAATAATAATGCTGGATTAATTAAGTGCTACTGTTTAAGCTTGGGATATACAGTTTTATCACTGCTATTGTGTAATCCTGAGAGAGATTTCGAAGTTTACAGTCAGCATCATCCCAGAGATGGCTACTACAATTAAATCCCAAAACTACATACAGAGCTCTCAAAGCAGGGGCAAAGCCTACCTTGCTGTATGTGTGTGTGTGCCTTCCAGACAATACGACTGCAGTTAACTGCATCTCTCTTGCTACTCTACAATGGAAGGTAACACCCCAATCACTACTAGGCTAGCTCCTGAAAAGGGTCATTTCAAGCTCCTGTGACAAGAGAAATATGTTCAAGTTCTGACAGTAACATATCACATGGTCTAATGCTTAATAAGCAATGTCAAGGAAATGAAGTATGAAGATGAAATCCTATTTAGAAAGTATGCCAGAATAAAGGGAAATGCCTACTTGCTCAATGGAATGATTTCCAAAGACCAATCTGAGTTGTTTCAGGAAAACAGTATAAAAGTGTTTTTTTTTTCTTAAAAAAAAAAAAAAAAAAAAAAAAAAGGAAATGATGAAAATGACAATTTTACAGGAAATGAAAAGTTATGACCCAAAAATTGTACAGAAGGTACAGCAGCTCAGTATGGTGGTGGGTACCTGTAATCTCAACACTTGGGAGTGGAGGCTGGAAGAACAGTGTAAGGGAAAAATACAGAGGGAATCAAAGATTGAAGAGAGAAAGAGAATTTAATAGTACTTAAGTTTAATTACTTCATTGCTTATAACTTCCCGGGTAAGAGCCATTCAACTCTGGTACAAGGCTAAACTGAGACATAAGGGCGCCCGGAGATAGATAACGGGATGTGGGCTGCCGCCCCAGGCCCCGTGATAACTCACGTAGGCATGTGAGAGATAACAGAAAGCAGTCAGATATGCTTGTGTAAATAAGAGATTACAGAAATCAGGAAACTGACACATACCACCCAGAGGGTAACACACATGAATTAGCTTAAATTTATAGGTTAGGTATTTTAAAGCTATTGGTTGTGTGAAAATGTGTGGGCTCTGGTACAACAGCTGTGAAAATCCTATATAAACTTTGCCTGAAGTTGCTTCAGGGTCGATTGCTCTAACCAGGCTTTGGGGTCGATTGCTCTAACCAGGCCTGCATGTCTCTGGAGGATGGTCGACCCCAGCTAGCTGGCTTAATAAAGACTTTGCTTGAATTACATCTCCATGTTCATACATATTGTTTTCCTGGGAAGCCCACGGAGTCTCGGACCCTAACATTTGGGGGCTTGTCCAGGATTCGGGGAGCTTCTGGGGGAACAAAGGACGAATGGAGGCAGAGTCTCTTTGTCCGGACGGGGCAGTGTAATTCGGGGGTCGCTCCCTCGTGTCTGTATAAATCCAGTGTAAAGCGAGAGTCGCCATCTCATGGCTGGTCTCGGGTTAGTGGTCTCGAGAGAGGAAGTCCGGGTTGGAAGTCCGGGCCCCCAGGTTAGCAACCCTGGGTGAAGTTCAGGAGCCAACCCTGGCCCTAGGGTCTGAGCAACTCAGCCTTAGGAAGGCAAGCCCAATTGGCGGAGACCTGGCGCCCAAGGTAGAGGAGGTTGACCTCACCACCCTACGGCAGTCCATGTAGGCGCCTTTCGGGAGAATTACCAGAAGTATCGAGGATCCCGAAGGTGAAAGTGAAAGTGAAAGTGAAAGTGGTGAGTGTGGTGCACACCAGAGTGAAAGAAGGACAGGTCCGAGCGAGTACGATCAGATGTGGTGTGTGTGCTTAGTGTCGTTGTTAAAATTGTTATGTTATGTTGTGGTTTGTATTTATATTTCTTTCTGCACTCTCTAGTTTAAGGCTCTCCTATGCTCATTTCTGCCACTGAAACTCTCTGCGGGCACGGGTTGGGCAGTTAAGAGCCATTAGGGCACCCGCCACTGAAAGACTCCTGTGACAGAATAAGGGGGTCACAGCTGCGAATCCCAGATAAATTTGCATCCCCCGTGGAAGAAAAAAACTGTGCAACGACAGGCACCCATTCACAAGCACACACACTGGTCATCTTATTTGGAGTGGCACCTTTACTCTTTAGCTTCTGCCTTCTTCCTTCCTTACGATCCCCATTATGGGCCAGACTCAGACTACTCCTAAAGGTTTAATTTTTTCTCATTTCATAGAAGTAAAGAAATGGGCCTTGAATATGGGCCTTAGTATCAAGAGAGGTAAGTTTGACACCCTCTGCTCTGCTGGATGGCCGTCCTTTGGAGTAGGCTGGCCAGCCCAGGGGTCTCTTTCCCTGGACCTTATCAGTAAGGTCAAGGCTGTTATCACCCGGCCAGAACCCGAGGGCCACCCTGACCAACTTCCCTATATCCTTGTCTGAGAAAATCTGGCCGAGAATCCTCCGTCCTGGCTGAGTCCCTTTTTGGTGGGGAAACCACACACTGACCCACCAAAGACTTCAGTCCTGGTCGCCCGGGAAGGCTTAAAGTTCTCCTGTCGCAAGGGTAGAATTCCTAGTGCACCGCCAGTCCTCCCTGATAGTTCCTCCCTCTACCCCCCCTTCCCTGCCAAGCAACCCCCCCCATATGCGGCTCCATGAGAAAGAGGGGGTGAGGCAACCGAGAGAGAGGAGGATGAGGCTGTGGAGCCTCACAGGGACCAGGCAGCTGCCCCTTCCCAGACTCCTCAACGGAGGAGGGCAGGCGACCGGGAGGGACAGGAAGGATGCAATTAAGGCCTTGAGAGACCAGAGAACAAGAGGGAGAAGCTCCATCTTCCACTTCAGAAGACGCAGTACCTATTTTACCGGTAGAAGTGATCGGGGCGAGGGGCCCAGATGGAGTTCAACAATATCAGTATTGGCCCTTTTCCTCCAGTGATCTTATAATTGGAGGACTCAGAACCCTCCCTTTTCGGAACTTCAGAAGAAGCAGTGCCTATTTTACTGGTATGAGCAATTGGGGCGAGCGGCCCAGATGGAGTTCAACAATATCAGTATTGGCCCTTTTCCTCCAGTGATCTCTATAATTGGAGGACTCAGAACCATCCCTTTTTGGAGGACCCTAAGTGTCTTATAGGTTTGGTAGAATCCATTATGTTCACCCATTGTTCCACGTGGGATGATTGCCAGCACCCTCTTCACAACGGAAGAGCAAGAGCGCATCCTCAATGAGGCCAGGAAGAATGTCCTCAGAGAGAATGAAAAGCCCACCACTATCCAGCCTGCCATTGACGAGGCGTTCCCCCTTACATGCCCGAATTGGGATTTCGGGACTACAGAAGGTAGGGAGCATCTCCGGGTCTACCGCCAGACTCTAATGATGAGTCTCCAGGCAGCCACCAGACGGCCCACTAACCTGGCTAAGGTAAAAACTATTGTTCAGGGGGAAACTGAAAGCCTGGCCGTGTATCTGGAGAGGCTGTTTGATGCTTACAGGCAGTACACCCCTATAAACCCAGAGGCAGAGGAACATAGATCAGCTGTGGTCCTCTCATTTATCAATCAGGCAGCCCACAACATCAGGAAGAAACTCCATAAATGGGACAATCTGGGAGAAATCTCTATCAGGGAAATGTTGCAGCAAGCAGAGAAGGTCTTCAATGCTAGGGAAACTCTGGAAGACAGGGAGGAGAGGCTAAGGAAGGAAGAATGGGAGATGCAGGACAAATATAGGAAAGAGGACAGAAGGTTCCAGAGTAGGGAGAACAAGAAACATAGGGAGGAGATGGCCAGGATATTCTTGGCTGGGGTGAAAGAGAATCCTGAGTCACCCCGAAGGGCGGGACCCCGCCAACCTCGACTAGGACAAGATCAATGCAC